CAAGTGCTATTTCCCTAATATGCTGTACTTCATTCTTTCTCTAACGCTCCCTCCCCTCCCTGCCATTTGGCTGCCTTTTGACCATGTGGCTGAGCTCCATGCTGGCTCAACTCAAATTGCATGCTTTCCCCCCTCTTTCTGTTTTCTATTTTCCATCCTCCTTTTCTGGACAGTTGCTTAGATTTACAGTTTGCCACCCTGAAGCTTTTCTTTAAAACTCTAATAAAATTGTCCTTGAGTTAAAAACAATCTAAAGCATTTTTGCCCCAAGAAACTAAAATCAAAATCACAAAAGGTATAGTACTTCATATTCACTGTGATGACTATAACCAAAATAAGGGGGAAAAATAAAAGAAAATAAACTGTTCTAGTGGGGACATGAAAAAAACTGGAACCCTCATATATTAAGACTAGGTATGTAAATGTTAGCGCCACTTTATCAAATAATCTGGCATGGCAATCCTTTAAACATAGCGTCAAAATATGATCCTGCAATTCCTACATATTTTCTCAAGATTAATTAAAATGTGTCTAACATATCACATACAAGAATATTCATAACAGTGTTATTTCTAGTAATTAAATAGAGGAAGCATACTTTCAGTGGACTGATATCTTTCCTATTTTGAATATATCTATTCAAATGTAGTATATTTACACAAGGGAATATTATTCAGTAATAATAAGTAATGAAATACTAGCACATTCTGTAACATGAATAGGTCTTGTTTATTGCAAGTCAAAGAAATTGGATTCAAAAGACTGAATTTTGTATGATTCTATTTACATAAAATTACCAGAACAGTCAAATTAATAGGGACTAAAGCAGATTAGTAGATATTTGGAGATAACGGGAGTACCTGCTAATGGGAAAGGTTTTCTTTATTGCTGTGGTGATGAAAATGTTCCACAATTTTTAGTAATGATGCTAAAACTTTAGAAAGATAGTAAATTGCACTTTCAAATGTGTTAATTGTGGGAGATGTGAATTATTTCTAAAGAAGGTTACTTAAAAGTATGTTACTTGAGATAGTTATAGATAGGGGAATATAAAATCGGACAGAATGCTACAAATAAATGGTTCTAAACTTAATATGGTAGAGTTACATAGCTGTATAAAATTCTGAGGTTTATTTTATTTTATTTTATTTTATCTGTATGTATGTATGTATGTATGTGCACCATGTGTGTGCACGATGCCTACAAAAGTCAGAAGATAGAGTCAGATTCCCTGGAACTGGAGTTACAGGTGGTTGTGAATCACCACGTGTGTGCTGGGAGCTGAACCTGGATCTTCTGCAAGATCAGTAAATACTCTTAACCACTGAGCCATTTCAGGGCAAATAAATTTTTAAAAATTAAGTGTACAATTAAAGCTAATACTTTATTCATTTTGTATGGCCTGGTGGCTTATGCCGTTTATTTTTTATTTATGTACTTATTTTTAGAGTATATTTTATGTGGTGATATATTTTTATGATTTATTAAAGCTTATCTGAGGGTACAGAAAGCAAAACCAGCCAAACTAGTTAGCTATAGAAACCAGGTGGTGGTACACACCTTTAATCCCACCACTTGGGAGGTAGAGGTAGATGAATGTTTGTTAGTTCAAGGCCACAAGGAACTACAGGAAATTGATCCAGTCTTAAGGAGAAACAGCTCATACAAAGATGATCTCAGCCCCTGGGATCACATGCCTTTAATCCCAGCTCTAGGAGGTATAAAAAGCAAAGGGTATCATGTGGAGATTGATTCTCCAGCCACACTGAGGAGCCACAGCAGTCTGAAGCTTGGTGAGAGCTTGTGGAGACAAGTTTTCAGCCCTTTCAGCCTTAGGTAGAGATAAGAGCTGGTGACTTGGCTGCTTGGCTTTTTTTTTTTCAAGCTTGAAGCTTGAAATGCAATATCTGTCTCTGGGTTCTTAGTTTTTGTGTTACGATTTTATTATTCATCAACTCGTCAACAACAACAACTTCATTTATATGTATGTATATACGTGTGTGTGTGTGTGTGTGTGTGTGTGTGTGTGTGTGTGTGTGTGTGTGTGTTCTCTTCATCTGGCCCTTCCACTTTCTTAAGTCATCCCTTTCCCATCTTCATGTACTCTCCTTTAATTTTTTTTGGTAACCAACTGACTCCAATTAGTGCTGCAGATAGAATGTTGATTGATCTTGTTGGCCTTGTGCAGGTCCAATGCAGGTCACCAAAGCAATAATTGGTTCATGATTATAATCACCATACCATAACCAAAAGACAGCATTTCACAGACTCCTCCCCATCCTTCAACTCTTATTTCTTTTTTCTGTCTCTTCTATGGTGGTCCCTGACCTTTGGTGGGTGGGCTGCTTAGATAGACATCCCATTCATGACTTGAGTACTCAACAGTTCTGAGCTTTCTTTTTAATAATCTATCTATCTGTCTGTCTATCTATCTATCTATCTATCTATCTATCTAACATCCAACCACAGTTTTCTCTCCATCCTCTCCTCCTACTCGTCCCTCATCCCCCTTCTGTTTCCACCCCACTAATCTACTTCTCCTCTGTTTCTGTTCAGGAAAGGGGCAGGTCTTGAATGGATATCAAGGAAACACGGCATCTCAAGTTGCAGTAAGACTAAGCACCTCCCCTTGTATTAAGGCTCGACAAAGTGACCCAGTATGAAGAGTGGGATCTTAAAAGCCTTTAAAAGAATCAGGGACAGCCCCTGCTCCCACTGTTAGGAGTCCCACAAGAGGATCAAGCTACACAACCGTCACGTATGTGCACCTAGGCCAGTCCCACGCAGGCTCCCTGATTGTCAGTTCAGTCCCTGTGAACCCTTATGAGCCCCAGCTAGTTGATCCTGCAGGTTTTCTTGTAGTATCCTTGACACCACTGTGTCCTACAATCCTTTCTTGGTTTGTTTTCTTATTGTTGCACTTTAAATTTTCCTTGTATATTTTGGCTACTAGTTCTTTGACACATGTTTTGTAAAGATTTTTTTCCTCGACTGTGGATATTCTTTTTTTAGAAGTTATATGGGGAGAGGGGATTGCACATGTGAGAGCAGGTGCCCATGGAGACCAGAAAAGGGTATCAGATCCCCTTGAGTTAGAATAACAGGTGGTTGTGAGTCTCTTGTTATGGGTGCTGGGAACTGAACTCTGGTCCTCTGCAAGAGAAGAATGCACTCTTAACTTCCGAGTCTTCCCACCAGCTCACTGTGGATAGCTGCATGGTCAGCTACAATGTCAGCTGCAGAACAAAAGGTTTTCATTTTAATGAAGCTCAATTATAATTTTTCTTTTTATTGAGTGGTAAGTAGATGACCACAGAATATGTTTTGCTTCCATGTTTATGTTATTGGAGAATACTAGTAGTCAGAAATAGTTTGTTTGAAGTCTTGGATGTCTCTGATATAAGATGTCCAGTATGTATTTTTACTGAAAGCTGCTAAAATTGAAGATTTCTTCTCATCACAAATTTCAGGGATAATATTTTTTTTCAATTGCATTCAACACTTACATTCAAGACAATCAATTTTCCTTTTGGTGTATTGAGGAGACAGATTTATATTTAAACTACTCTTAAATCATACTCAAAACTTTGAAGCTCCAGATTCACGAATGGGGATTCTAACTGACTCCACTTTGAGGATTTCAGGAGTTTGGCTTCCTGTTCTGTCTGTTCTCCAAAAACAAATGTTTAATTTCATCTAGTTTGACAAGTGTTACCCACTTGAGAGTTTCAATATTCCACCTAAATTTAGGTTATCAACTTCTTAAAACTTCAGTACTGGCCTAACAAATCCTCACTTTGGTTAATCATAAAAGGCACTAAGATACTTAAAAAATGTTTTACTTAAACATTATTGCTTTTTCAGATGGAGAATCAGTTTGAGCATATGGTATTATACTTGTTAAAAACACAACCTCACATAATCTCAAGGAGCTAGTAAATTGAGGACCTTGTGTTTTCCTATATTTTGTTTGCATGAAAAATGATTTACTGGTTTATACTTTTTCCTTAAAGCCACATTTTAATTTTGGAATAGCTATGGCTAATAATAAAAATTTCTCCCAAGTCACTAGAGTGACTAGAGACAATGAGTCATTAGTGAAAAACAAATCAATTCTCCAAAAATCTGTATTATCAATTTAATTTCCTTTCTCATTGAAGATCAGATTACAAAAGACAACTTTGAAAATTTTTATATTATTAATTGCTTCATATTTTATGAGAAAAAGCTTAAGTACAGGTCTGTTTGTAGTATATTTAAAATGTTTTGAAACTTGTAATGTTATCTTTCTGTGTGAGTGAAGCAAATTAGGAGAGCTATAATAAAGCAGAATGATAGTTGCTATGGATTATAGGGCATAATATTTCAAAGTTTATTGTGGGTGAACTATTCTACTTTTCTGTTGTTTGTTTGTATTTTCACTTTTAAAAACTGTAATGGAATT